TGATGAGAAGTGCCTTACTTTTAGGATTTCTGTTTGGTATATTTCTGTTAGAATAAATCTCTTAATATTAGAGCTGTTATTGTTTAGTTGACTATTTCTTTGTTTCATGTACCACGTAGCATTAGTTGGGCTATAGTGGGCTGATTTTACTCATTCAGTTAGGATTCTGTAAGGCTATAAAATGCCCGACACAATTGCTTTCAATAAACAAGTCATTCATTCAATTTGTCTTGATTTTGATCACTTGCAATCATCTTGATCATCTGTTCATAACAAATTGGTATCAGAGCCACCATTGGACCTGAGAAAAAAAAGGAAGCCGCAGTCTTTCTAGTGACTTGCAAACATAGGAGAGTAAGAGAGAGAGATGGCGAACGACGGAAAGAACGAAGGCAATAGCAATTTCATCCAACCATCCATACCACGGTTTGATGGTCACTATGATCATTGGAGCATGCTGACGGAGAATTTCTTGAGATCCAAGGAATTTTGGAGCTTGGTTGAGACAGGTTATGTGGAGCCAGAGGCAGGAGCAACTGTGACTGAAGCACAGCGAAAGAGACTTGAGGAATTGAAGCTTAAGGACCTGAAAGTGAAGAATTACCTATTTCAAGCAATTGACAGGACTATTCTGGAGACCATCCTAGAGAAGAACACCTCGAAGCAGATCTGGGATTCGCTGAAGAGGAAATACGAGGGGAATGCGAGAGTGAAGCGTTCGATTCTTCAAGCACTGAGGAAGGAGTTTGAGACCCTCGAGATGAAAACAGGTCAGAACATCACTGAGTACTTTGCTAGAGTTATGACTGTTGCCAATAAAATGAGGATTTATGGGGAACAGATGCAAGATGTAACAATTGTGGAGAAGATCCTTAGATCTTTGACTGACAGATTCAATTACATAGTCTGTTCAATCGAAGAATCCAAGAACATAGATGTGCTCTCAATCGATGAGTTGCAAAGCTCATTGATTGTACATGAACAAAAGTTCCAGAAAAGTAGTGTGGAAGAACAAGCCCTAAAGGTGACATCTGAAGATAGGTTTGGAGGTAGAGGCCGAGGCAGAAGTGGTTTTAGAGGAGGGGGAAGAGGCAGAGGGCGTCAAGCCTTCGACAAAACCACTGTAGAGTGTTATCGGTGCCATAAGCTTGGCCACTTCCAGTATGAATGTCCTACTTTGAATAAGGAGGCAAATTATGCTGAATTGGATGATGAAGAAGAAATATTGTTGATGTCTCATGTGGAGTTGCATGAAGCTAGGCGTGAGGATGCATGGTTTCTGGATTCTGGGTGCTCAAATCATATGTGTGGAGACAAGGCTATGTTTTGTGAGCTGAACGAGGGGTTTAGGCAGCTGGTGAAACTTGGAAACAACACAAAGATGACAGTGCTCGGGAAGGGAAATGTCAAGCTGTATTTGGATGGCTTTCATCGTGTTGTCACAGATGTGTTTTATGTACCTGAATTGAAGAACAATCTTCTGAGTGTAGGACAGTTACAGGAAAAAGGTCTAACTATCCTTATCAAAACAGGGATGTGCAAGATCTATCATCCTGTGAGAGGTTTGATTATTCAAACCAGGATGACAGCTAATAGAATGTTTGTACTGGTGGCAAGAGCTCAAGTCAAAGAAGCTTCCTGTTTCCATGCACCTGCACAAGACCTTTCACATCTATGGCATTGTAGGTATGGCCATCTTAGTCATAAAGGACTAAGAACTTTACAATACAAGAAAATGGTTCGAGGATTACCACAGCTACCTACACCAACTACAATGTGTACTGCTTGTGTAGTTGGTAAGCAGCACAGAGATCCAATCCTAAAGAAGAGCCAATGGAGAGCATCTCAGAGGCTACAGCTCATTCATGCTGACATTTGTGGCCCAATCACACCGATCTCAAACGGCAAGAAAAGGTATTCCTTGTGCTTTATTGATGACTATAGCAGAAAAGCATGGGCTTATTTTTTGATAGAAAAATCAGAAGCTTTCCAGTCTTTCAAGTATTTTAAGAAGCTTGTTGAAAAAGAAACTGGCCAGTTTATTAAGTGTTTAAGAACTGATAGAGGAGGTGAATTCAACTCCGTGGAATTCAATGAGTTTTGTAAGCAGAATGGAATCAAGAGGCAGCTCACCACAGCCTACACTCCTCAACAAAATGGAGTGGCTGAAAGGAAGAATAGGACAGTGATGAACTTGGTGAGGTCCATGCTTTCAGACAAGAAGATTCCCAAAACCTTCTGGCCTGAGGCAGTGAATTGGACTATGTATGTGTTGAATAGGTGTCCCACTCTTGCAGTTAAAGACATGACTCCGGAAGAAGCATGGAGTGGAGTGAAGCCCTCAGTTGAACACTTTAGAGTGTTTGGATGTGTGGCACATGTCCATGTGCCTGATGCAAGAAGAACCAAACTGGAAAACAAGAGCTTCTGTTGTGTACTGCTAGGTGTGAGTGAAGAATCTAAAGGTTACAGGTTGTATGATCCTGTTGCAAAGAGAATTGTGGTTAGCAGGGATGTAATCTTTGAAGAAGAGAAACAATGGGACTGGGATACAAGCTACATGGAACAATTACTAATGGATTTGGAATGGGGAGAAGAAAAGAGTGGCACTGATGAAGATGAAGAAAATGGCAGTGAAGGTAATGAGACAAGTGAGAATGATACTGAAGGCTCAAGGAATGCCTCCTCTGCTTCCTCAAATACAACAAGTGAAGACGATGTCAATTTGAATGAGAGAAGAGAGATACGTGCTCCTGTTTGGATGGGAGACTACGTCTCTGGAGAAGGATTATCAGAGGAAGAAAATGAGTTGAATATGGCACTTGTAGCTTCTACTGATCCACTAAGCTATGAAGAGGCAATGAAGAGTTCCAAGTGGAGGCAAGCTATGGATGCTGAAATAAGGTCAATTGAGAAAAATGAGACATGGAGTCTGACTGAATTGCCAGCTAGAGCTAAGAAGATTGGAGTGAAATGGATATATAAGACCAAGCTTAATGAGTTTGGTGAGGTAGATAAGTTCAAGGCCCGGTTAGTTGCAAAGGGTTATGCTCAACAACATGGTGTGGACTACACAGATGTATTTGCCCCAGTTGCAAGGATGGACACAGTGCGCATGATCATTGCTCTAGCTGCACAGAAAAGTTGGCTCATCTATCAACTCGATGTTAAATCTGCTTTTCTTCATGGTGAATTAAATGAGGACGTGTTTGTGGAGCAACCAAGAGGCTATGAGCAGAAGGGAAGTGAGCACAAGGTTTACAAGCTACATAAGGCCTTGTATGGACTAAAACAAGCTCCTCGAGCTTGGTTTAATCGCATTGAGGCTCACTTTACTCATGAAGGGTTCCAGAGGTGCATCAGTGAGCAAACATTGTTTGTCAAGCAAAGCAGTAGAGGTAAAATTTTAATTGTCAGCATTTATGTCGATGACTTGATTTTTACTGGTGATGATGAGCAAATGATGTCAGAGTTTAAGGAGTCAATGATGAAGGTATTTGATATGACTGATTTGGGAAAGATGAGGTTTTTCTTGGGTATAGAAGTGTTACAGAAGGATGATGGGATTTATGTCTGTCAAAGAAAAAATGCACAGGAGGTTCTGAGACGTTTTGGAATGGGAGAAAGTAATGCAGTGATGAATCCTATTGTTCCTGGTTTCAAAATTGGGAAAAATGGAGAAGGTAACAGAATTGATGAGACCTACTATAAGCAAATAGTAGGCAGTCTTATGTATATCACTGCTACAAGGCCAGATATGATGTTTGTTGTGAGCTTTATAAGCAGGTTTATGGCCAGACCAACAGAACTTCACTTGCGGGCTGCAAAGAGAGCACTGAGATACTTGAAGGGCACTGTTGACTATGGAATATTTTACAAGAAAAGTGGGAACAAGGAGTTGGTTGCATTCACTGACAGTGATTATGCAGGAGACTTAGAGGATAGAAAGAGCACATCTGGCTATGTTTTTATCCTAAGTGGAGGAGCAGTTTCTTGGTCTTCAAAGAAACAGCCTATAGTCACTCTTTCAACAACTGAAGCCGAATTTGTGGCAGCTGCAGCCTGTGCTTGCAAAGCAGTGTGGATGAGAAGGATTCTGGAGAAGTTGAGTCATGCACAAGAAGGTTGCACTACCGTGATGTGTGATAACAGCTCAACCATCAAGCTCTCAAAAAACCCTGTTATGCATGGACGCAGTAAGCACATTGATGTGCGGTTTCATTTTCTGCGTGATTTAACTCGAGATGGAGTTGTTGAGCTTGTGCATTGTGGTTCTCAAGATCAAGTGGCAGATTTGATGACTAAACCACTTAAATTGGAGGCATTTCTGAAGCTTCGAGATCAGTTGGGAGTGTGTATGATGCCTAGAGTAAACTGATTGCTTACACAGCAGTTAGTTTAAGGGAGGGAATGATGAGAAGTGCCTTACTTTTAGG